TGTGGCAGTGTTCCTTGATGAGATACTGGTAACCGGTCGTAATGATGAAGAGCATGTCCAAACTCTTGCTAGAGTATTGGATAGATTGCAGGAAGCAGGACTGCAGTTGAAACGGAGTAAATGTACCTTCATGGAAAAAGAGGTCATGTTCTTAGGTCATAAAGTGGATGAGACAGGCCTCCATCCTGCACCAGAAAAGGTGACCGCTATTCAAAATGCTCCCTCACCAAAGAATGCGACAGAATTGAAGGCTTATTTAGGACTTTTAAATGATTACAATAAGTTCTTGCCCAATCTGTCTACTGTTTTAGCCCCTGTGCACAAGTTGCTGCGAAAAGATGCAAAATGGAACTGGGCTGGGGAACAAGAGGCTGCTTTTGCTCAGTCTAAAAAAAATGATTCACTCCGTACAAGTTCTGGTCCATTATGACCCCCAGAAGGATGTGATTTTATCATGTGATGCTTCTCCTTATGGCTTAGGTGCAGTTATTTCGCATAAGATGCCTGATGGAAGTGAAAGACCCATAGGATTTATGTCACAAACACTGAATCAAGCTGAGCGGAATTATTCGCAGTTGGACAAAGAAGGGTTGGCTGTAATATTTGGCTTACAGCGCTTCCATAAGTATTTGTATGGTCGAAAATTTACAATCGTTACGGACCATAAACCCTTGTTGTCTTTATGTAACGAGTTAAAAGCTGTTCTCCAAATGTCCTCTCCTAGAATCCATCGATGGGCTGTGACCCTGAGAGCATACGAATACAACATCATCTACAAGGCTGGCAAAGATCATGGCAACGCAGATGCTCTAAGTCGGCTACCATTGCCAATGGAATCTTCCACCGAGCAGGAGGAAAGAGTTCTAATGCTGGAGAATGCTGATATCACCCTGATCACAGCAGAACAGGTGAGGGAGTGGACAAGAAAAGATCCAGTATTATCTCGGGTAAGAGAAACAGTGCAACGCGGATGTTTGCACGAATTAACAGGAACAGAGTTTGACCCATTCACATTAAGGAAAGATGAATTAAGCGTACAGGTTGGTTGTGTGCTTTGGGGGGCCCCGAGTAATCGTTCCCAGTGTGGGTAGACCAGAAGTTCTGAAACAATTGCATCGGTGTCACCCAGGAGTGTCTAGGATGAAAGCTTTGGCCAGAAGTTATGTGTGGTGGCCCAAGTTAGATCGGGATGTGGAAAGGCTGGTTAAAACCTGTTGCACGTGCCAAGAGCATAGGAATGTTCCAGCTGTTCAGCTTCCAGCCCCACTGCATCCTTGGAATTGGCCGGACAAACCATGGCAACGTTTGCATGTGGATTATGCAGGACCGTTCATGGGAAAAATGTTCTTTGTTTTGATTGATGCACATTCAAAATGGATGGACGTGTATCCAGTGAATTTAGCCACATCTGCTTCCACTATTGACTGTTTGTGGAAGAGCTTCAGTAACCATGGATTACCTGAATTGATTGTATCAGATAATGGTACTTGCTTCATTAGTGCCGAATTCAAAGAGTTCCTTCATAAAAATGGAGTACGGCATGTTACTTCTGCACCTTACCATACTTCTAGTAATGGTTTAGTGGAACGGGCTGTCCAAATTGTTAAAACCATGCTAAAAAAAGTGTTGATGGAACAATTGCAACTAAATTGTCTCGAGATTTATTCAATTACAGGATCACTCCCCAGACCACCACAGGGCTCTCTCCAGCGGAAATGTTGTATGGATGGAAATTATGCTGTTCAATGGACTTTATACATCCTGATTTGACAAGGAAGATTCATGAACAACAACAAAAGCAAAAAATCTATCATGATAAAAAGGCCCGTGACTGGAGTTTTTGTGTTGGAGATCCAGTACTTACTCGGAACTTTATAGCGACGGGGCATATAGCGACTGACTGGACCACTTTCTTATAAAGTAATGCTGGGCGATGGGCGAGTGGTTCGACGGCATGTGGATCAAATTCATGCCTGACAGAAATTGCTTGTAAACACTTCAGAAGAGGGAATGGACTGTAAATTCCCTGATTTCGACATTCCTGGAAACTCAACACCTGTAGTTGCTAAAGAGACTGAGGGAACAGGGACTGAGGACATTTCTAGTGAAACTAATCCCTCTGAAGCATCTGGGGATTCCTCTCAACATTTGGAGATAATGACTGAAATGAACAAACCTGCTAGAGTAATTATGAGACGGTCACAAAGAACCAGGAAGTTGCCTACCCATTTGAAAGATTATGAACTGAAGTAATATTGAATGTGAATTGAAGATTGTAAAAAAAAAAGTGAAATGCAAACTGTGAGGTTATTTTTTGACCTATGTAATTGTGATGCTGTGATGTGGAGAGAAATAGCATTGTGATTTTTATGTAAGCTTGGGGGAAAAGGGATGTTGTAGAGTGACAATGAAGTGTCAGTTGTAGCGATGACCTGTAGAGGGCAGGCTAAAGCTCTGTTGGCATTTGCTTAAAAAGCAGCAGAGAAGAACTTGGTGTGTGTGTAAATTGACTCCACCTGTGATGTGATTGAGTGTACTGCTGGATTTTTCAGAACGACCATGCCTCTATCTGTGTCAACTTTCCCTGGGTTTTACTGTCGAATTTTGGAGAAAATGAAAGTCAGTCTGTCACAATGCATTATAGCACTGATCAATTCTTGACATTTATCCAGGCATTATTCAAATTCCTTCAGAGTTAACATGAAAATTTCAATTCATTCTTCATCAGGGCACACAAGACTCTGTCTGTGTCAACTTTCACTGGGTTTTACTGTAGAATTTGGGAGAAAATGAAAGGCAAAGTCTGTCACAATGCATTATAGCACTGATTATTTCTTGACATTTACACAGGCATTATTCAAATTCCTTCAGAGTTAACATGAAAATTTCAATACATTGTTCTTCAGGATGACCATGACTCATCCGTATCAACTTTTACTGGGATTTACTTTAGAGCTTTAGAGAAAATTGAAGACAAAGTCTGTCACAATACACTATATCACTGGTGTGCGTTTCCCAATAACGTCGACTACGAGTGCACTACGAAGACTCTAAAGGTATATCTTAACTAAAGGTATACAATTTCTAGGCGTGTTCCCTGAACTATACCTTAGGAGGTTGCTTACAGGTATACCTTCTTACGTGCAATGTTACCAGGTACTGTCCATGAGGGTGGTCCTGAATTGATTGATATCGATGGATCGAGAATGGATTATTCACTCTATGCAGGGACTGCTTCAGTGCGTCGTGTGAGAGCAGTGTTCTTTATAAAAGAAGTGTTGATTTTAAATAAAGACACAAAACTCCTTCCTGTTAGAATGCAATGAACTTTTTACTTTTGAACTTTTTGCCAGTACATACACCGATATGGTGCTGTGTATTTAAGACATACTGCTGCTGCACAAATAGCATATAAAATAACGGCTCTATACAGGTGGAGCTGCGGAAGGTGGAGGGTTTCAGAGGAACTCTGCGAAATGCTCTGGTGAATGCTAATCAGTCATTTAAATGAAAACCAGCAAGCTCATTGGCTGCGTATGCAACATGAACCAATCAGCTTGTGCTAAATAGTTTAACACTGTGAATATCATCAATTTCCGTTAACGACCCATCAGCCTGCACCACCTAGGCTGCATTTACACTGCAAGTCTTAATGCACAGATCCGATCTTTTGACCATATCCGATTTTTTTGGCCTTTCTGTTTACTTTAGATGCTACTGGTATCCGATATCTGTGTTTACATAATCCCTGTCCAAAATGATAGTCAATAATCGCTTTACTATGTAAATGGTTGACCCTCGGGTTTTGAATGGCCGTGCTATTAAAATTATTTATATAATACACTTCAAATTATTATTTGCCAGCATGGACAACAGCTGTCATGGATGTTTTGCAACACAAAATCTGACTGAACGGATACATAACAGAAAATAACGGTAATTTTCATTTGTTAGGCTCCTTAGAGGTAGAATTCTTTAGTGAAATAAAGTAGCACCAAGATGTTATTTATTTAAATGAATTCAAATGAATTAATGAGAGAGAAAGTTATCACGTCATTGCTAAGAAATAAGAGACCGGTGAGTGGCGCAGGTGTCGCGCATTAGCAATTACTCCACCGGCCTCGCTCCGTTCCCACGGCTCTCGGCCCCGCCCCACTCGTCACACTCGCATTGGGAGATCTGCGGGGATTCGGATATGTGTGTTTAGACGTAGGTCGGATGTCTAGCTATCAGATACGTATCCGATTAAAAATCCACATTTGGAAGGGGCTCAGATCGGATGGGAAAAAATCGGATCTCGTGTGGATTTTTGTGTTTACACGCGTGCATCAAATTCCAATCTGTGTCAGATGTGTGCAAAAAAATCTGATTTTTTCTGCCAGTGTAAACGCAGCCCTAGAGTTTCATGATTATGTGATTATGTGATCATGAAGCTCTATGGGACTTATGTGAGGATTCTGTTTGTGGACTTTAGCTCCGCTTTCAACGCCATCATTCCAACACTCCTCCAGACCAAACTAACCCAGCTCTCTGTCCCTAGCTCTATCTGTCAATGGATCACCAGCTTTCTGTAATAATTTGGCATAAACTAATAGACATAACCTGTGTCTGAATGTATGATGAATTGTGTTAATCTGTTACATAAATTTTTTTTTTGCTTCTTTTGTCATCTGAGTACAGGCGGCTCTCATTTCTCGGTGTCCCTGAGGCTTGATGCAGTGAATGTCTTGTAAACGCTGCTCTCTGCTGGACATCTCTGTCAGCTCATCCTCTGTGAATATCAAATATATGAATATCTGAATATTTATATATATTATTTGCAGTAAAACATACAAAACATATCAAATATTTAAACTGATTAAATATACCATTTTAACCCTTTATGGAGTTGTATATTATGACAAAATTAAAAGAAATAAAAAAATTGTAATCTGCACACCAGGTTAAAAAAAATTTCAGTATTTATTGAAATGAGCTTCCATTTGTGGAAATCAAAATCCCATTTTGGGTTTTCGTGGTCCAGTCTGTAGCTGTGACAACTTACATTTTTTTGTGGAACATATTTAGAAACATTTAATTTTAAACAAAAATAATGATAATAATAAAAAGCTTTTGCATAATCTTTCTACGTTTTGTTTCATATTTCAGAGCAATTTATTTGTTAACAGGTGAGATGATCAGTGGTTTTGAGTTTTTACCTTTATTATTAACGCATGGGTTAAAGTATGGATAGAGTTTGTCAGTGAAAGTCTGATCAGTGAAAGAGTAGATATGAGAGCTGGAGCCCACATCATAAAAAGAGACCAGCCCCTCCTCATAATCCACAAACACTCCCACAATCTCAGGTTTCACTCTCAGAGAGAAAGAGACAGGTGAACTTTCACAAGCTTTATACTGATTCTCATTCCTCAGAAACACAGCCCAGAATCCATTCTCTGGATTCAGTGTGATCTTCTCCTTCCTGTTAATAGATTCTCTGGCCACTCCTAAATTCCACCCAGTCTTTCCCTTCACCTGCACCTCATAGTAAAATCTGCCTGAACTGAATCCCTGCTTTGCCAGAACAGAAATAGTTTTATCAAATCTCTTTGGGGTTTCTGGCACGTCATGCACAATATCTTCATGACTGACTTGTTTTCCATCATCAGACAGGATGAGTTTTGGATGTGCTGTATCAGGATCCAGAGTCACATCCACTAGATGAGAGATCAGACATTATCAATTAACTTCAGATCAAATATTTTCATATAATACAGATTATAAAATGTACTGAAGGAAATTATGCCAGTCACTCTGTACCTGCAAACTTCTGTAGACACTTCAACCCTGTGGATACAGATGACAATATAATGATTAATTATTTATTGTAATATTTCATGTTAACATTGAGCATCAGCATGTAAATGTTGCTCATCCATCAGTTTATAAAACAATGTAAGAAATTGTGTTATTTAAGCTGCAATATTCTGAATCGTCATTGCGAGGTGGGAAATGTTTTCAGACTGATTAATTTTAGTCAGATTTCTGGTTACTGTATTTGTTGCTGATGTAATTCCTGTGAGTGCAGTTTGTACAGGTATGTTAATACTTACATTATATTTATTACATGTTGCTTTAGTTTAAGTTTGGATAGATCTTCACATATGAAATCTGTTCACTGTATTTGATATTCACATACCAGTCTGACCAATTTTTTTTAGTCTCCCATATAGAGTTTTCTCCAGCTGAATCAGAGCTCTATTCATTGAATACACATTCACATCAGAGTCAATCCTGATCTCAGTCCAGTTCTTGATGTGTGGACGACTGCACAGAGATGAGAACATCTACAGCAGGAGAGAGAAGACTATTAGATATGATCATATGCAGGAGCTTTCTAACACAGTTAACTCATTTTTCTAATTTGACTTTATTATAGTTTCATTCTCTTTTGCACAGTTTCTAAAGACAGCAGCTCATCAGGTTTGTCAACAGAGCATATGACCAATAATATTCTGCATTCTCAGTGATGAGACAGATATTGACAGACCTGTAGGAGGTGCAGATGATCGTCAGTGTGTGAGAGCTGCTCCAGCTCAGAGTTTCTCTTCTTCAGATCAGTGATTTCCTGCTGCAGCTCTTTAATGAGATCTTCAGCCTGTTTCTCTGCTGCTTTCTGCTGTTCCTCCATCTTCTTCAGCAGCTCAGACTGACATCTCTCAATGGAGCGGATCAGATCAGTGAAGAGCTGATTTCTGGCTGATTTCTCTTCCTCTGTGTTCCTCTGATCAATGAGATCAATTAGCAATTAATTTCACTCAGATGTACGTCACAATAGGGACGGAAAGACAATCGCAACTTCTGTTTCATGCCACCAGGTGAAAACAAAGTGCAGTAAAATACACTTCCCTTTCAAGGGAACTTCGAACTGCGTCCTCTAGGGGTCGCTATGGGGAACGCCTCGTCGTAACCCGTGTCTGAAGCAAACATTGAAAAAACACCAACAACACGCTGGCCGGCGACAGCCCATGACGTCACTACCGGTGCGACTATAGTATAAATAGGCGCCGGGAGAACATGTCATTCTCTTCTTCGTCTTCACTGACCATTTTGTTTGAAGCGTGCATTTCCATGGTAAGAGCGATCTATATTCCTATCGTTATGGCGAGCACTAACAAAGCGTTTAGAGCTTGTGTGCATCCACGTTGTCGTTATTTGACACCTGATGACACACACGATCTCGGCGTTGTTTGTTTGGGCAAAGAGCACGGACGCGATGTCCTTGAGGGGGCAATCCGCGTTCATTGCGAGAGTATTTTAATGAAAGCTCCGCTCTCGTTTGTCTCTCTTTTCGAGGAAAGGGGGGCAGCCATCTGCTTCCCGTGGCTCAGGACCCACCGCTGCTGAGGCACGGAGGAGGATGGGCTCGTGGGGATCGCCGGTGGATCCGAAAAAGGGGTCGCCCTCGTCGGCTGTGGACGAGAGTAAGCTGCTGGAGGATGATGTTATTTCTTTAACATCTTTAACATCGGGGGCCGGTGCTCTGCTGGGTTCGGCCCAGTAAGAGCAGGAGATGTCTGAGGACGGCGAAGAAGCTGAGGCTGAGCCTTTCCAATCCTCCTGCTCTGCGTATGGTGAGTTTTGAGCGTTATCTTTCTTACGCATTCATCGATTCCAGCATACGAGTTATGCCAACATCGAGGCGATGCGCGGAAACGACTATGAGAGGATGCCCCTGTAAAAAAGACGACTGGCTAATTATCTTTCTATGGGTGAGACGTCATCTCTTAAAACTCCCTCCTTGCCATCTCGCTTAGATGGCAGGGCATACGCAGCAGCAGGTCAGGCTGTTGCTTCGTTGCGCACAATGCGGTGCTCCAGGCATATTAGGCTGACCTGCTGGAAGACCTGGATAAAGGCCTGATGAGGTAGCTGAGTTTCGCCGCACCACAGATCTCACTCTCTGCGCTACTAAGCATGGCAGCTGTAGTAGGTGTTGAGAGACATCTGTGGGTGAACTTGGCAGATATCGGGATGGAAGAGAGGGG